ATCTCTGATTTGTATCAATGTTATGATTCCCTGTGCTTCCCCCTCGCCCAGTCCCCCAATGTCAGACAGCCAGGGCAAGGATACAGTCCTGGCCTGCCAGCCGCGAAGAGCAATGCAGTATTAGAAAACAAATGTTCTTTCTATTCAGGCCCTCAAGCTGAAGACAATCGTTAGAGGAGATGCTCCCACGAGCTTGGTAACCACTGGCCTGTACAGGAAAGAGGTGAGCGCATTGTTTGTTTTTCTTCTTTCTATGCTTCAAGTGAAACTACTGCAAAGTTTAGGCTAACGTCTTGTGTTTAATTCAGTGAAAATGCAGCATCTGTTATACTTCCAAGTTGCAGAGTCTTCTAGCAAAAAAGGGAGGCTATTCAGCCCACCTTGTCCATGCTGACTCTGTATGGCCGTCAGTCAGCCCTGTACACCTAACCTGTCCCTGTAGACCTGCGCACTTGCTTCTCTCAAGGTGCCCCAGTTTCTTTTTGAAATCATTCATCGTCTTTGTTTGCGCCAACATTGCAGGTAACAGATTCTAGATCTTTACCATTGCGTAAAATATTCTTCCTTGTGCCCTCCTGCATTCCTTGCCCAAAAACCTTAAATCTGTATCGCCTGGTCATTGTACCATCAGCTCCTGGGAATGGCTGTTCCTTGTATTCCTTATCTAAATCATTCATAATCTTGTGCAGCTTTATCACATCTCTGTTGCTCCAACTCAGTCTTTTGTTGCTAAAATCCCTCACACCAAAAATATTCTCATAAATCTCTTTCGCAGCCTCTCAAGGATCCTCACAACCTTCCGAAAGTGTGCTGACCAGAACTGCACACAATTCTCTAGATGTGGCCTAACCAGAATTTATCAGAGATTCATCATAACCTCCCTGCTTTTGTACTTGACACCTCCATTTATAAAGCTGATGATCCAGTGTGCTATGCTGACCACTCTCTGATTACATCCTGCCACCTCCAAAGATCTATGTGTGTGTCTTTCTGCTTTTGTATATTCCTCAGGGCTGTGCCGTTGATTTTGCCTCTCCCTATCCCTTTTGTTAAAATGTATCACCTCTCACTTTCCCATATTAAATTCCATCTGTGCCTGTGGGCATTGCTAGCCCGAGCTAGATTCTGTGACAGTCTGTCAGGAACATCCTTGTAGTTTTTCACACCTCCACTATTGATAGTGAATTGTTAGATTTTATTCTGTATTCCAATATGCAAGTCATTCATATATTTTATATCAAAAAAAGCAGTTGATCTTTCTTTGTCTGACCCTCAGATAACAACCTCCATCCAGTCTGAGAAAAAGCCAATTATTGTGACTCATTGCTTCCGGTCTTTAAGCCAACTTTTTATTGAGCTGTCACTGACTCTCCTATTGTATTAACCTTCATTTTGTTAACCAGCCTCTCGTTGGTACTTTATCACAGAACCATCACAGCACAGGAGACCACTTGGCCCATCGCACTTCTACCTACTTGTTCAAATGAGCCTTTATCGAACGATTTCTTAAAATCCACATCAACAACATCCATTGTAGACAAACAGGAGGCTGGAAGAACACAGCAAGCCAGGAAGGACCTGGAGGAAAGGAGCAGCCAATGTTTCGGGTATAACCCTTCTTCAGAACGTTGACTGCTCCTTTCCCCCAGATGCTGCCTGGCTTGCTGTGTTCTTCCAGCCTCCTGTGTGTCTCCCTTGGATTCCAGCATCTGCAGGTTTTTGGTCTCTAACAACATCCATTGCATTGCCTTCATCAACGTTATCTGTTACTACATTAAAAATTCAATCAATAAGTCGAACAAGACATACCTTTTAAAAATCTATGCTGGCTATCTCTAACTAACTCATACAAATCTCGAGCACTTGTGAATCTCTTTCCCTGACTGTTGATTCTAAAACATTGCTCACTAGTGAATATTAAAATGACCAGCCTTTGGTTTCTAAGAACCCCTCACATCCTTCCTTAAATAGAGAAGCCATGTTGTTGCTCTTTAGCCCTCTGACACCTCCTTAATATCTTGGGAATGTAAAATTGTGCCAAGGCTTGCCTCTGTCTCCACTGCCACTTCCTTTCGAAACAAGAACAGAAATTGCTGGAGAAACTCAGCAGGTCTGACAGCATCTATAGGAGAATGCAGAGTTAATGTTTCGAGTGTGGTCACTCTTCATCAGAACTGACTGCAGCTAGGAAAAGGTGGTGTTTATTTTGAAGGCAAGGTTAGGGTTGGTGGGGGAAGAGGTGAGCCGAGAGAGAGTGTTATGAAAGGGATAGGCAAATGTGCTGGGGATTATTGATAGTAGGCCAGAATAGAGGTTGAATACATCATAATTCGAGCTGAGAGAAGGAGAGAATGGATAGGATGTGCTGAAATCAACCCATGGAATCGGAGCGGCTGTGCTAAAAGCAACCAATGTCATGGAAGGATGGAATCAGGCCCCAAAATCATTACTCGATGCTAAGTCCCAGATGCTGCAGGGACCCCAAGCAGAAAATATGGTGCAGTTCTTTAAGCTTGCACTGAGGCTCACTGGAGCATTGCACTTCCTTTAGAAACCTGGATGCAACCCAACTGGAGCAAGTGATCCAATAACAGTCAGCCTTTCCAGCACGTTCCATCCATCATCATAGTCAACTCCATTCATATTGTTACTTTGCCAAACACAGGCAAAAGGAATTCATTCAGTTTATGAAAATTTGGTCAGCATGGATGAGTTGAGCTGAAGGGTCTGTTTCCATGCTGTATGACTCTATGACGCTAGCAAACACTGATATAAAGTGCCCATTAAGTATCCAGTACTGTCCTTGACCTCTAAGCATATATCACCCTAATTGTCCTTCAAATACTCCACTCCACCTCTTTAGAATGGTTTGCTATATACATGCTGGTGGATGATTTTTGGATTGTATATTATGTTGACTCAAATTTTATTCATGCTTTCTCTCTTTTCCAATCTTAGTTTCTTCCCACTCTCCGTCTCAACCTGTATTTGCTATGATCCTTGTTTGGGGAATTTGCTAGGCACGCATCATACACCCTCCTTGTATTCGTCATTCTCTCTATCGTCTTCGTCATCATGATTCCCTGCCCTTCCCTCTTGTTAGAATCTGTTTAGTATGTGCCTAAACTTTCTTTCTTCAAGAACACCATTACTCCATTACAGCTTTTGAGTTCAAACTTTGATTCCATTTTACTGAGCCCAGATGCCTTCTTGCACCATTGAAGTATTCCTCTTCCAACGTAGACATTCTATTTTAAATTGTTCCTTGCTCTTATCCGTTACTAAACTATAACCTATGGTATGCACTCTTATGCACATGTTCTCCCTTTGACACTGCACAGTTGGTGCACCTCATCAGATCCTAAATTAAAAACAGAAAGTTCTGAAAAATGTTCAGGTCTGGCAGCATCAGCGGGGTCACACTGGACTCTAAATGTTAACTCTCTCTCTGTCTCCACAGATGCTACCAGAACTGCTGAACTTCTTACAGAGCTTTCTGTTCTTATTTCTGATCTCCAGTTCTTTCATATTTGGCTTCTTTCTGGTGGGACAGAAAATGTACTGATTAAGAAGACTTTCCTGAAAACATTTAGAAATTCTTCCCTGTACTTGCCCTTTACTCTAAAATTATCCCAGTCAATAGTTGGGTAATTAAAAAAAAAATTATCCTAGCATGGGTCCAATGATCTGAAACATTTTCTGTGTGCTCACCTGCAATGAATATAATTTAAGTGACACATTTAACATAGTAACATAGAAGATAGGAACAAATGAGGCCATTCAACCCATCGAGTGGTCTACCATTCAGTATGATCATGGCTGATCAACGAGCTCAATACCCCATTCCTGCCCTCCCCCCATATCCTTTGATCCCATTAGCCAATAGAGCTATTTCTGTGGTAGTGAATTATGTAGGTGCCCCACCCTCTGGGTGAAGGAAAATTTCTCCTCATCTCAGTCCTGAAAGGTTTATCCATTGTCCTTAAACTATGACCCTTGGTTCTGGACTTCCCCACAATCAGGAACATCCTTCCTGCATCTATCCTGCCTAGTCCTGTTAGAATCTTATAGGTTTATCTATGGCATCCCCTCATTTGTCTAAACTCAAGTGAATACAATCCTAACCAACTCAATCTCTGCTCATATATCAGTCCTGTCATCCTAGGAATCAATCTGGTAAAGCCTGGGCACCCTACAGCTCTAACCGTTTCCCCACTGTAGGGTTTTGTGCTCCATCTCAAACACCACAGCAGGAACTCCTGAAGTTATAATGGAATAGCAATATCCTCCCCATTTGAGTGTGTTAGCAACATATACGTAGCACTTCAATTGGTGGTGTTTTGCAATCACTCACATGGCAGTTTTCAGGAGGTCACGTGTCAAACCCATTTCTGCGTGAAACATTCTTTGAGGGTAAAATGATTGGAGATGTTCTGTTTCATTTTTAACCAAAGGTTTTGTAGAAGTATTTCTTAAGAATGTTATGGTCATCTGAAAAGGTAAGGATGTTTTGTTTAAAATGTTTTTTTTTATTTGCATCTTAAATGCTGCTGGCTGGTGCCAACAAAACAAACCCGACTGACTAATGTTTTAATGTATGTGTAATCCCATCAAATTAGTTGATGTATGTGTTTGGTGAGCCTCGCTCCGAAAGTCATTTTCTTTATTTCAGAGAATTTTGACTGATACTGTCTCCTAATTTGTCTTGAAACTGTCTATAACCTAACCTGAAGCTGTTATTTAGCTGTGGTGAGACTGGCTTCAGTTCTTATTGAAGGCAGGCACCAAGCCAAGACTATTCGATAACCTGGTCCCAAAAGACACTATGGCAATCCCTGTAATTTGGGCATTTACTTTCTGCTTCAGAATAACATTGAGATGTTGGTTACAACAGCAGGGTAGAGAAATAAAAACAAAATCCCACACATTGTCGCCCACTCAGCATGAATCCTGATATTAAGGTGCTGCCTAACTAAACACATGAAATGTCTCAAGATTTCTCAAGGAGGTTATTGCACAGGTGATTTAATTTTTTTTTGTTATCTTATAAACCACATCACAAACTGCACTTGTTGGAGGCAGGGGGTGGTGGTAAAATTAACTTAGAGTTCAAAGCTAACTGGCCATCTCTTAACGTGGGGAGAGGACATGAGGAGAGAGTCAGGCACGCAGAGTCATGGAATCTTACTTTGCAGAAAAATGCCATTCATCCCATTGTGTCCATGTCAGCTCTTTGAAAGAGCTATCCAATTAGTATTGAACAACTCCTCAACCTTCTCTATTCCAAGGAGAAACAACACCACCTTCTCTTCACAGGACTGGAGTCTGTCATCCCCGGTATCATTCTAGTATATGTCCTCTGCATCAGATGCAGCAATAGTAATGGCTTTAAATTTCAGGGGGCGATTGTTAGGTTCTTTGTTGTTGGAGATTGCTCGTGTCTGGCAAGGTGTGGCATGAATGTTGCTTGCCCCTTGTCAACCTACACTTGGATATTGTCCAGATCTTGTTGCATTTGGACATGGACTGCTTCAGTATCTGAGGAGTCGCAAATTATGCTGAACATTGCGCAATCATCAGTGAACATTTCCAGTTCTGACCATGTGATAGAGCAAAGGTCACTGATGAAGTTGCTGAAGATGATTGAGCCCAGGATACCTACCCTGAGGAACTCCTGTAGATACGTCCTGGAACTAACCTCTAACACTGCAATCATCTTTATCAATGAATCCCCCTACTCTCAACATCCTATGGGTTACCATAGACTGGAAACTGAAGTAGCCATTTAAATATTGCAGCTACAACACCAGGTCAGAGCCTAGAAATCAAAGTCTCATGTAAGGAGTGTGATGGAATACATCTCACTTGCCTGGAACAATTGCAGCTCCAACAACACTCAAGGAACTTGACACCATCCAGGACAAAGCAGACCTTTGATTGTGCCAGGTATTACTCGAATTCCCCTGATTCCCAATAACTCTTAGTCTTGCTAGGGTTCCTTGCTACACTCAGTCAAATGCAGCCTTGATATCAGGGGCTGTCACTCACTCCTCACATCTGGAGTTCAGCTCCTTTGAACCAAGACTATAGTGAAGTCAGGAGTTGAGTGGCCCTGGTGGAACCCAAACTGAATGTCAACGATCAGGTTATTACTAAGAAAGGGCTGTTTAATTGCACTGTTGATCACAAACAATTGAAAGTAGACTGTTAGGCAGTAATTGGCCATGTTGGATTTTGTGTCCTGCTTCTGTCCACAGAATACTTGGGCATTTTTCCATATTGTTGGGTAGATGCCAGTGTTGCAACTGCACTGGGACAGCTTAGCTGGGGCGCAGCAAGTTCTGGAGCACAAGTCTCAATACTATTGATCGAATGTTGTCAGGGCCCAAAGCCTTTGCAGTATCTGGTGTCTCCAACCATTCCTTGATATCATATAGAGTGAATCAAATTGACCAAAGACTGGCATCTGTATTTCCAGGGATCTCTGGAGTATGCCGACATGGATCATCCCCTCGACACTTCTGGCTGCAAATTGTTGTAAATGCTTCAACCTCATCGCTCCCAGTGATGTGCTGCACTCCCCTCTCCAAGGATGGGGACATTTATAGAGCCTCCTCCTCCAGTGAGTTGTTTAATTGTCCACCAGCTTTCACGACTGGATGTGGCAGGACTACAGAGCTTAGATCCAATCTGTTGATTGTGGAATCGCTTAGCTCTGTCTATCACTTGCTGCTTTCGCTGCTTGGTGTGCAAGTAGTCCTGTTTGGTGGCTTCACCAGGTTGATATCCCATCTTCAGGTATGCCTGGTGCTGCTCCTGGCATGCCCTCCTGCACTCTCCATTGAACCAGGGTTGATCCCCTGGCTTGATGGTAATGGTTGAGTGGGGGATATGCCGGGCCATGAGGTTATAGATTGTGCTGGAGTACAATTCTGCTGCTGTTGATGGCCCATAGTACTCATGGATGCTCAGTCTTGAATTGCTAGATCTGGGCAAAGTCTGTCCCATTTAGCATACTAATAGTGCCAACAGCACAATGGAGAGTATTCTCAGTGTGAAAGTGGGACTTCATCTCTGCAAAGACTGTGTGGTGGTCATTCTTACTGATAGTGTAATGGACAGATGCATCTGCAGCCAGCAGATTGGAAAGGATGAGGTCAAGTATTTTCCCTTTTTCTCTTGTTGGTTCCTTCACCACCTGCTGCAGACCCAATCTGGCAGCTATGTCCTGTAGGACCCAACCAGCTCGATCAGTAGTACTGCTGCTGTGCTCTTGGTGTTGGACGTTGAAATCCCCCACCCAGAGTGTATTCTGCATCTTTGTCACCCTCAGTGCTTCTTCCAAGTGTCATTCAACATGGAGGAGCAGAGAGTTATCAGCTGAGGGAAGATGGAACATGGTAATCAGCAGGAGGGTTCCTTGTCCATGTTTGGCCTGATGCTATGACACTCCTCCCAGGGCAACTCCCTCCCAACTATATACCATGGTGCTCCCATCTCAGCTGGACCTTCCCTGCTGTTGGACCAGACTTGCTCAGCGATGGTGATGGCGTTGTCTGGGACATTGTAAGACATAATTCTGTGAGTATGACTGTGTCAGGTTGTTGTTTGACTAGTCTGGGAGACAGCTCTCCCGATTTTGGCACTAATCCCCAGATGTTGGCAGGGAGAACATGGCCAAATTGATAGGACTGTTCTCATTCCCGGTCAATACTGGATGGTCCGTCCAGTTTATTCCTTCAATGCATTCGATAAATCGATGGGTTTTTATGACGATGGCTTCATGATCATAATTAGACTTGTTTCGTTCCAGTCGTGTATTGAGTTGAAACCTGGGTCATCACAACATTTCCTGAGTTTCTGGATGACTAATCCAACAACAAAACCACAATGCCATCATCTTCCCTGTGGCTTAGCCTGTCATTTCCAAAGATTTGTACCTGTGAACCCCGAAGATGTTGGTTCCTGCACTCCTTTTAAAAGGTTATCACCTGGCTAATATTGCCAGTTTATTCAGGAGCCGTCAGCATTAACTTTCATCTTCCATGTGTCTCTCCATGTGCACAGTCTAGTTATGTTCAATTGGTGTCTACTGCTGTCCTTCTCATGCATTTCCAAGTTCTGGGCAAACTTTGAAATTGTGCCCTGTAGTCTGCATCATCAATATATATCAACAAGAGCAATTGTCTTAATTACTAGTCGCTGGGATTACGTCTGTAAACTTCCCTCCAGTCTGATAAATGACTGTTCCCCACTGCTGTCTGCTTTCTGTCATGCAGCCAATGTTATATGCATGCTAACACTGCTCCTTTAATCCCAAGGGTTTCAATTCTTCTTTTAGCCTCTATTATGTGGCCCTTTATCGACTGCCTTTTGAACATCTATATATTCACCGTCATCCTCACTGTCATCATCCAGCTGCCATTATTTAATGGAGTAACTGGATCAGTCTTCGTCTGACGCATATGAGTGCTATCCATCATTTACCAACCCATGGTTTTATTACACAAATAATTTTATCTTAGTTAATGGCATCTACCAACTTCTCCTCCAGCAATATTAGGCCTGTATCGACCCAGCTTTATGTTTTATGCCTTTATTTTTTGTTCAACAGGGTTGTAAGGCTTGCATCTCAGCAGCCCTCTGGCTCAGTCTCCATATCCAAGCTGGGACTGAAAGATTCTAGTGTGGTGTGCTTTACAATTTACTTTAATCTATCAGTCATGAGTCAAGTTGCGTCATAGCCAGAGGCCATTTTGTTAGCAGTGGCTTGGTTTCCTTAATATGTACATGCAAAGAGGTTAATGCTTGTGTGTGAAAGAATCATCAGGGGGAACCAGATGGGCCAAATGGCCTGTTTCTGTGCTGCGAGATCAATGTAAGTAAGAATAGATGTGACTCATTGGGTGTTTAAAAGTACAAATGATGAATTTATTTTGGGATGAAAAAGACAATAACTTTCACTCTATTGTAACAGGATGACCAGGATGAGTTTACCAGATCCTTGGGTCATTTTCCAGCCAGCAGCACATTGGATGAAGGAGTACCTGTAAAGCCTTTTACTTGCTCAAAAAGAAGGAACAATGTAAAGTGTTTTTGTCAAAAGAAATCTTAGTTATGTTTAAAATATTTTGCTCCATTCTGTTTGCTTGATTGCTTAAGTTCGATCAAATTAATGAATATAATTACCTGTTTGCCCATTATCTTGATGTTTGTGTCCAGGAAATGCACAATATCATAGAATCATAGAATCCCTGCCCTGTGGGAGAAGGCCATTCAGCCCATTGAGTTTACGCCAACCGTCCAAACAGTATCCTACCAAGACCCTCCTCCCTACCCTATCCCTGTAACCCTGCATTTCCCGTGGCTAATCCACCTAGCCTGCGCGTCCCTGGACACTCTGGGCAATTTAGCATGGCCAGTCCACCTGACCTATACAACTTTGGATATAAACTCCAATGTTTCACTGAGCAGTTTAAGTCTGACTTACTGAAGCAAGAGTAATTTCCTAGATTTATCCTAGCATTCCTGCACCAACTTGTAAGGCTGAATGGCCTCCTTCAGTGCTGTATGATTATACAGATAGGGAGTAAATAGGAATAAGGAGCCTTCCATGAATTGTTAAGGTTTTATTCAATAGGTATTTTTATATTTTTATATTAACACCTTCAAACTTATTTTCCAGATGCAAGCAAATGAGTAGGATAAATATACAAAAAAACAGGGTGATAAGCCTCCCCACTATCCCATTTAATGAGAGAAAATATAATATGGAATATAGCTGGATGTAACAAAGATTTCCTTTACATATTTGGCTTATTGAGATTATAACGTTGTTTTAAATATACCCTTTTCTTGCTGGGTTGAGTAATGAATCTGGGGAAGATTTCCTGTCTGCACCAGGTGTAATTAAATTGGAGATGTTGTCTTTTATAAATTGGTTTAAAGTTTTGGTGCCATGTAGAAAAAGACTTTCCCTTGTTGACCCAATGCAAGGGCTCAACTTTGACCTACCCACCCATTGGAATAAACCCAACAAAGTGAATGTGAATCAACCTGCTGTTCTTTAGAGTGACATTTCCTTACCAAGATCGTCCAAAAAGGATTGAAACTTTTCTACAGGTTTAAGATGCAACAATATATTGAGTTTCAAATACACTTTTAGACTCTGTGATTTGTTTGAACTTTGGATGCTAATGTAAAAGAATGGCATTCGATCAGATGCCTGTTATATACTTTACCCAATTTACATTGTGCCTCTTGTCAAATTTTCTTTCCTATCAAATTTAACAGTAGACAATACCATGACCTCACCTGTTACTCAACTTTCATTAGAAAAGTTAAACTTATCCCTTTGGTGTGAAAGTTATGCATGGATCTGGGTTTGGACCTCGTTAATGTTGGATTGTGATTGTGTTTTTAAAATGTGACACTTTCTGAGTTATGGTTCCTTTTAAGTGTCTAAATGAAAGTGTGACTCTATTGGGATCACCTCAGTGATTCATAGCCAACCAAAACCCGTTTGCCTGCATCCTCAACTTGTGCCAGCATGGATTTCCCTCCCTCCCCTGCCAGCCAAGTTGTGATCTCCTGGTGCTGGTAAATGATAACGGAGCTCAAGGCGTCTTGTATCCAAACAACTTCCTCACCCTTTACCAACCCCACCTCTGAGCCCAGGGATTATCAGGAGAAGGCGTAGGGTCCAACTCTGGGACAACAGTGGTAATTCAGGAAGAAGAGGATGGAAGAGGGGACTTGACTTATGTTAAGATCCCTTTTCCCTCTAGAAGTCATTAATAACTTTATTATATAAATATTCTATATGTGTCTTTTTTGTATAAGCAGGTATGGTGTGTGTTTAGCTGTGTGTGTATATACTTGTGTGTGTTTATATACATATACTAGTGTGTGTGTATATACCAAAGTGTGCATATACGAGTGTGTGAGTACGTGTGAGTGTATAGACATAAATGAGCATACGTGTCTGTCAGTGTGTGTGAGTGTGTGTGTATATATGTATGAGTGTGTGTGTGTATGTATGAGTGTACACCAATCACTTACATATAGCACTGAATCTTCTGGCAAACCCTGCTTTTAAATGTTAGTTTATGCTGGTTGTATTGTGGAGAAAAGGTGACATTTCAAGAGATGCAGATATGGGGAGGGAGCTTGGAGCAAGGCAGATTGACTTTTGCGTTTGCTGTTCAGCTGGGTAATTGATCGTGGCACAGCACCAATGCCAACATCCCACAAACAAATAAAATATTCGTGGGCAGTGCCCCCTGTCAATCCAAGAACATTGGACATCTGCTGTGAAGGAGGTCGAAACACATGTAGATGTTAGAATTAGTCGAGCAAGTCTTTAGCCTATTGCTGCTGGCTGGTGCTTGATTCCCTGATGTGCGAGAAGAAGGCACAAAAAGCTGAAAACCAGTAAATGATGGCACAAAAAATGTGTTGCATTTGTGAGAAAGCTCTTGTTCCACCATTTAGTGGGAGCATCATTCTAATATGCAAGTCAAAAGCGCTCATTCTAACTTCCAGCTTCGAAAGAGTGAATTTATGTTCTTGAGGTTATTTAAATTATTACATTCATCTGTGGCACCAACCCATCCTGTTCATTGTATGGTAACCTAAATTGCATTCTTTGTATACTTTGCCTTACAGCCCTGGGAGCCTCAATGTTTCTGCAGCAATTTCCCCTTTGAAATCATCTGCAGTGATTCCTGGGGACAGTCGTTACTAATCTCCACAGACGCTGGAGTGTTATTGTTAGACGGTTAGTCACTATGTCATATTCTCATTTGCACATGCTTTGCTATTGTCTGTCCCCCTGCATTGTTGGATCACACAATTCATATCAGCATTTATTGCAGTCACTTAAGTCAGAATGGGGTGCTCACACAGTGAGGATAAAGTGCACTACGTGAATATACAGCACAACAATGAATTATTCTCTTCAGCTAATGTTGTGACTGTTGACTTTGTAAATGGACCCAGCAAGCACATTCCAACTAATGACTAGAGCTTCTCACAATGTGCACCATCACCATTTGTAGCACAGCATATGTAACTGGGATTTTCACACAGAATGGATGAACAAAATATTTGTGGCTTCAATCTTTGACACTGAATAACATTGTCACGATTGTGAAGCCTAATTCTGTTTGGAAATATGAGAGGGAAGCCAATATGCTCACCACAAGCTGCTTACACTTGTTGTTGTTTATCATGAGGCCGATTAGTTAGTGTTTTCTTGTGACTTACACCTTATACCACGCTGACACTACAGTAAACACATTGCTGAAAGGTTATTGGAGCTTGTAGGTAGCACTACTCTGTTCTACTAAACCATCACAGGACACACAGATCACAAAAATGAGTGGTTCTGAGCAATTTCAACTTCATGAGCTGTAATTCCTCTACGAATTGCCAGTTGTATTATTTGATTCAATGTGCTGTTCTCCAGCAGTCTAGTTCCTAATTGAAAAGTATCTGGCATTCTGAGTTTGTGGGATATATTGACACTATGGTGAGGAGCTATCCCCAGTGGTAACTTTCCATAGTTCTCGGTGTGTATGGGGCATCAATGCATTGGTTGGACTGTTTCCCATTTTAATTTGGTCCGTGCGTGATTTCAAAATTTTCATCTTTGTTTCCAAGTACCTCAATGACCTCCCCCTTCCGTATCTCTATAATCGCCTCCTGCTGTAAAACCATCTGACATACACTGTGCCTTCCTCCAGTTCTTGCCTCTTGACCATTTCCAATGGCTATCTCTCCATCATTGGTGGGTCGGGGTGGGGGGGTTACCTCCTTGGTACACACGCACTGGAGTGACATCTGCTTCTCTCTCGTCTTTAAGAGGTGGCTTGGTGGCTCAGTGGTTAGCACTGTTGCTTTATAGTACCAGGGACCCGGGTTCAATTCCACCCTCAGGCGACTGTCTGTGTGGAGTTTGCACATTCTCCCTGTGTCTGTGTGGGTTTCCTCTGGGTGCTCCGGTTTCTTCCCACAGTCCAAAGATGTGCAGATTATGGTGGGTTGGCCATGCTGATTTGTCCCATAGTGTCCAGGGATGTGCAAGTGAGATGGGTTAGCCATGGGAAATACAGGGTTACAGGGATGGTGGGTTTGGGTGGGATGCTCTTCAGGGGGTTGGTTGAACTTGATGGGCTGAATGGCCTGTTGCTACACTGTAGGGATTCTGTGGAAGATGTTCCTTCAGACTCTTTCACCAAGCCCTTGACTGTCTGCTTTAACATCTCCCCTCTGTGATCCAATGTCAAAGTGCTCTTTATAAAGCTGCAGTGAAGCACCTTGGGCCATCTTATGCTATACAAATACAGATTGTTCTTGTTATTATTATTAGAAGCCTATTCGACAGGCATTGGGGTTCATTTATATCCTGTCTTTTCCCTAGGGTGGGGGATTTCAAGAGTAGGAAGCATATTTTTAAGGTGAGAGGAGAAAGATTTTAAAAAGTACATGAAGGGGCAATTTTTTTTACACAGAGAGTGGTTCATGTGTGGAATGAACTTCCAGAGGAAGTGGTGGATGTGGGTACAGTTACAATGTTTAAAAGGCATTTGGATAAGTACAAGGATAGGAAATGTTTGGAGGGATGTCGGCCAAGCGCAGGCCGGTGGGACTAGTTTAGTTTGGGATTATGGTCGGCATGGACTGGTTGGACCGAAGGGTCTGTTTCCGTGCTGTATGACTCTATGACTCCAATAACCAAAGGGAAATATTTTCATTTCAAAAACCCAGTCCTTTTAGACTTCTTTTGTTAATTGACATTCAGTGTTAAACTGCTCAGATTTATCCAGAAGTATGTTACTTTATTTCTGAAATAACTCCACAGAGGCTGGCATCCTGTCACCAAGTCACCTTTTATTTATGTGTGGAGAGTCCTTGGCACTGATCCAGCTCCCTCAGAGCCAGCTCTCAGAGTGAACAGAACCTCTGACACTCCTGGATAACAGCCACAATCAGGCGACTCATATTCTGTGTGGTCAACCTGGCTGTCCTTGCTACAATCACTACAATTTCAAGAATAGAAATTCTGACATTTCACATATGATAGATTGATTTGAAATCAATAATCTGATTTATTTTACAATCCAACAAACTTGCGTTATTTTCAATGTGGTTCTACTGAAACTAGCACTCTTACAAACACAAATGTCCACATGCAGGTATTGACAGACGCGTGTTCTTGTAAGCACATTTACACACACATGTGCAAATACACCCATACGTGTACATGCAGTCACACAAACAAACCCCGCTGAAAGGCGTACTCACACAGGCACACAAACATGCACACCTACACATTCATTCACATGCAACCGCACCATCCATTGGAGCATACAAAGGTTTCATGAGGGAGAATGAGGTGATTCAGCCCATCATGCCTGCACCCGCTGAAAGCAAACTAGCATCTATTCTAATCCTACTGTCCAGCACTTGGCGCATAGCCTTACAGGTTACAGCACTGAAGGTGCAGATCTGGGCTAGCCCCCAAACTGGGCAAAGAGTTCCAGGCACGCACCACCCTCTGGGTGAAAAGGGTTTCTTCATGTCTTCACTAATTTTTCTACTAATCACTGCATGCTCTAATCTTTCTACTGATCACAACCACTTGCACACAGACGTATACACATGTAATCACATGACAAGAGAATATGCATGTCTGCATCCACATTGAACTCTGTTTTTCATCCATTTTAGTGAGACGAACCCTCCTTGGTTTTACAAACCTGAAAATGAGCGTGAACCAGAGGTTTATAAGTCATTAATCTTTCCTTATTATGTTGGAATTTTATCAATAAACCTCCTGTATTCTGTGACAGAATATTAATGAGTTTTCAAATCTTCCTCTTTGAACCTAGTAGCTTCATATCTTCCAGAAATAAAGTCGATTGACATTTGATCAAGACTAGTTGTTGGGTGATGAAGCCCTGACTCTTGTTTGACAGGGCTCAGGGCCAGTAAGGGGAAGGCTGTACTCTAATTGTGTTGTCTCCCTCTTAAGGTGCAGTTCACTTCTGCAACAGTGTAAGTGTTGAAGGGTATCTGACTGTTAATCTGTTCACTGAGCCCACAAAGATATTGGGTGTGATCACAGTTGAAGTCCAGCCTGGGTTGTTTCTTTCTGCAGTTACCTCCCAATACAAGCTTCAACTGCTTTTCCTTTTGTTTTTAAGAAATAATTAGATTAATTAATGTTGTGCTGTTATGCCTTTGATATAAGTTGCAAAACCAATGCTGTATTCCCAATACAACAGGGACTTAGATAAGAGTCTGCTGACATTACACATTGTGTCCAGTACCTCAAGATATCACCTTTAACTCTCCAAGATTAATAACCATTTTGCCCTTGTTTTCTGTCATTGCTGGAGAAACTCAGCAGGCCTGGCAGCATATGGGGAGAGAAAAACAGAGTTAACGTTTCAAATCCAGGTGACTTTTCTTTGCAACTGCTTTTCTGAAGAAGTCATATCCAATTCAGACATTCTCTCTCCACAGTTGCTGCCAGATTTGCTGAGTATTTCTAACATGTCCTGATCTTATTTCAGATTTCTGGCATCCTCTACATTTTTGCTTTTATTTCTTTCTAATTTTGCTTTGGACTCATTGGGAAAAGGGGAATTTATTTTAATGTACATTGGACTTGTCTAACTTCAACACTGGTTGTTTCAAAACTATTTCTTTATACAGAGGGCCAGACCCCAGTGCCAGTCTTTGACAGGAGCCTGCCAGTGAAACAGATGGACATCTTGGAAACTCAGGATCTCCTGCTCACGAGAGCAGACAAAGGTAAACTGCAGAAGGACTGATCAAAATAGTCTGGCATTTGGCACAGTGAGAGTGCAAAACATTGTAGCATTTCGACACAACTGTCTCACGTGAGGAACTAATGGCCTGGCGGTAATGTTTGTTGGACTGGTAATCCAGAGGCCCAGGTTACTGCTCTGGGAGATAGTCAAAATCACTCTGCAGCCCCTGGTGAAATTTCAATTCAATTAATAAACAAAGCTGAAATGTAAAGCTAGCCTGAGAAATATTAACCATGACAACCATAATTGGTAATTGTCAAGGGCTAATGCCCCTCAGAGAAGGAAATCTTCTGCCCTTAATTGGTCTGGCCTAATGCTGATTCCAAACCACATAACCAATGTGGCTTATTCTTAACTGCACTCTGAAATGGCCCTAGCAAGCTCCTGAAGCAGTCCATGTCCAAATGCAGCAAGACTTGGACAATATCCAGGTTTGGGCTGACAAGTGGCAATTAACATTCACGCCACCCAGTTGCCAAACAATGGCTATCTTCAACAAGAGAGAATCTGAGTATCATTCCTTGGGAGATCACTGAATCTCCCACTGTCTACACCCTAAGGGTTACCGTTGACCAGAAACTGAACTGAATTAGCCATATAAGTACATTGGCTACAAGAGCAGATCAGAGGCTAGGAATACTGCAACGAGTAACTCATCTCCACACTCCCCGAAGCCTCTCCATCATCTGCAAGGCACAGGTTAGGAGTTTGTTGGAATATTTCCCACTTGCCTGAATGAGTGCAGCTCCAATGACACTCGAGAAGCTGGACACCATCCAGCCCACTTGATCGATGCCAAATCCACAGACATTCACCTCCTCGACCGCTGATGCTCAGTCACCGCAGTGTGTACCATCTACAACATGAAGTGCAGAAATTCACCAAGGGTCCTTAGAAGCACCTTCCAAAACCACAAATTGTTTTTCAGTCTGTCACAGCGTACTCATTCATGGTGACAGTCCAAGTTTTGATTATTGTGACAATTACAAAGAAAGGATCTGTAATCGACGAGCCACTTTGAAATAATAATTCTTACTAAATGATTGATGTTTATGATGTATCGATAAGAATAGCCATATAAAAGGGGGAAATGAAATTATTTCATAGTTTCAAACTGCATTTGGAAGAGTTTACAATTTCATTCAATTGTTTAAAAGAAATCTCTTGCTGCTGATTTTTGAATCAAAAATTCCAAATGCAGGAAGCTATAAATATCCCCCAGGGTCATATTAGTTACAAGAACTTTAGAAGTGTTATAATGATCTCTGTGTTATCATGTCCATGATTTCAAAGAAGTGTTTGTCATGTTTTTATAACATTGATATGACCCAGTGGAATGGCAGAGCCAGAGCAGCTTTGAAGTCTGATAAGTTCATGTAAACATGTGATTACAACAAATTACAGGCCTTCTCGAGAGCTCCTCAACATTGTGACTGAGGTGCTGTCCAAACTCTGGCTTGCTGTCTGATCCTTCGTCTGACAGTGAGTGATGGAAACTGTCAAATATCCTAGAAGGGTGAAGATTTAAAACTGTCAGAAATGGAGGAGAAATCAGAAAACTGATCTCCGCAACAATGGCTGATTGCATTGCAAACGATAAAGCAGCCCTTAGCTTTGGGGGAACACTTGTGATGCAGTGGCTGTGTCCCTTCCTCTCAGCCAGGTGACCTGAGTTTGGGTCCTACCTGTTCCAGAGGAATGTCATAACATGTCTGAACAGATTCATTAGAAATATCAGAACGACACTCTGATGCCATAGGAGCAGGAGCAGGCCATTCGCCCCTTCAAGTCTTGGCTCCTGTTTTGTGCCGGCTCCTTATCACTCTCAACTCCCCAATGTTTCAAAAACCTGTCTACCTCCTATTTAATTACTTTCAGCAATCTAGCCTCCACACCTTTCTGAGGTTAGAGAATTCCAAACATTTATTACCCTCCGAGAGAAGAAATTCTTTCGTTTCTTATCAGTGTCTCCTTGTTCTTTAACTGTGTCCCCTAGTTCAAGATTCCCCCACTAGTTTAAACATCTTCTCAATACCTACCCTGTCAAGTCCCCTCAGAATCTTGTATGTTTCATTAAGATCACCACTCATTCTTCTAAGCTCAAATGAATAAAGGCCTAACCTGTTTATCCATTGGTACTAAATCAGCCCTTTTCATCCCATGAATCAGCCTAGTGCATCTCTTTTGAATTGCCTCAAATGCCAGTATACCCTTCCTTAAAAATGGGGACTAAAACTGCACACTGTGCTCCAGGTCTCAGTAACATCTTGTACATTTGTAACAAGAGTTCCCTGTTTTTAACTCCAATGCCCTGACGAATAAAAACCAAACTATACCCCTCATCCTTCTTAACTTATCTGCAGCTTTCAAAACGGCTGACTGCCATCTCCTCCTGATGGATAGAACAATCCTTATTTCTTTCCATCCTTACCGACCATGATGCAAGGGTTGCAGGATAGAAGAAAGAGGCCATGTTGTTTCTCTGTCTAGATATTCTCTAATCACCCAGCTCAGGGATGTTATTACACACTTCTGGAACAGGTGAGAGATGAACCCAGACATACAGAGCTATGCCAGCTGCATGCTGTTTGTGTGCATTGTTTCATGTTGAGCTGGAGTACGGTATGTAGAACATGTCACAGGCAATAAAGCTTGAAACAGGTTGTAGAATCCCTATAGTGCAGATACAGGCCATTTGGCCCATCAAATTTACACCAATCTTCTAAAAAGCACCCCACCCAGATCCATCCCATCCCCACATTTACTATGGTTAATCCACCTAACCTGCACATCCTGGACACTATGGGACAATTTACCATGGCCAGTCTATTTAACACACTATTTGGACTGTGGAAGGAAACTGGAGCACCCAGGGGAAACCCACACGGACACAGGGAGAATGTGCAAACTCCACTCTGTCACCTGAGGCTGGAATCGAACCCGGGTCCCTGGTACTGTGAGGCAGCTCTGCTAACCACTGAGTTACCGTGCCAGCCTAAGGTAACCTGGTGTGTGAAGTTCTCAGCAGTGCCATCAATTCATAAGGAGGACCAAAGGGTCCACTGTGCAGTGTCATGTAAATTTATTGAAAGGGTCCACCATCTTACACGGGAGCCATGTTTATGAGAAGGCTTGTGCTAAAAATACTATCTGTTTTGACTGATATTGTGTGATGGCGCATTGCAATATGATTCATATCTTTGTTCTTCTTCCAAATCTTAAGTTTGCTGTGTCCTGGAGGCAGTGCTGTCTTCATGGGACTTTGGGACCTGCTGCCAATTGAGGCCTGGGAGTAGACATTTAAGGTCCCCATCATGTTGCTGCTGGTGTTAACCAAACATCAGGCGAGGGACTCACCATGGAGGGAGTCGCATAATGAAACCAGTGTGGCATTGCTTGCAGGGTTCCGGAATGGGCACAGATTGCTGGTCTCTTAACTAAAGCCCTCACTGGTTTATCAAGGGTCCTAGCATTGGAAAGTCAGGAGTGGGTGGCAGAGGCCTGCTGAGAAAGCCCCCAACCCCAACCCCACCCCCATGAACCTTGTACCCTTGTGACCCCCACTGTCACTGTGGCCTGGGATCCAGCCAAAGTCCTGGGCCTCAAGTAGATCCCATATAGTCCCCTGGCCTGCTGCCATCCATTGGATCTGCTGTCCTTACCTGGTCGGCATTTCTCAATGGGAGAGACTTCCCAGGCCCTTGGCCCACCCAGTGCCTGAGAGGAACAGACCCTGCAGCCCGACGCGGTTTCTCATTCCCTCACTGGATTCCACCCAGAGAACACAGGTACCTGCCACACTGAGCTTGCAGTGTAGTTTGCAATCTGCCTTTCCTGCTTTGACTGTCATTGAAGCTGAGTTATATTTGTTGCTTCTCCCCACAGGGAAAGATGCACGTCTGTTTGTCTTTAGGCTGAGCGCAGTCAGGAAAGTTCTGGAGGAGAAGCAACTGGTGAAGAGCAAATCTGATTGCAAGGACAACAAGCTTGAAAAAACAAAAGGTAATACTCATTAATAGTTGGTTTCATTTGCAGCAGGTTCCTTACATTGAGGCTCAGTGAAATTTTCTATGCGTTGCTTTTCCTACCAACAAATGTACCACAGACCAAGAGTAGAAATTCCACTGTCCATTTCTTTTTAGGTAAGTCACTCATGGGATGTGAGCACCATAGGCAAAGATAGGGTTTATTGCCCTTCCCTAATTGCTTATGAGAAACTGATGTTGCCTTGTTGAGCCATTGCAGTGAATTGGTGAATTACACCCAAAGTGTTGTTAGGAAGGGAGTTTTCGGATTTTCATCCTGCGACACTGAAGGAGCAGCAATATAGTTCTGAGTCAGGTTGGTGTGTGGCTTGGAGGGTAACTTACAGATGATGTGATTTTTGCCTCCTGCAGATATTTTGCCCCTCGCTGCAGAGCTTACGTTATCACCTGTAACATTCGAAACTAGGAATCGTGGTATTAAAGAATTCAACAGATGTATATTACAAGTAGCTATTGTGCATAATTATTACTTTATTATATTCACAAGCAAATAGTGTTTGGGTTTGTACTAAGCTATTCTGTTGCCCAGAGCAACGTGCATCCAGTAGAGTATCATGCTTCAAGTAACCCGAGGTAAGATGGAGTCTGTGATCTTTATACCCTCAGGTCACATGACAGGTCACATAAAAGGCACACTGACATACTGAATCTCTTAAAAGTACACTAACATAATATGCCTCTTAAAAGTCACCAAAGTCCTACCAGACCTTAGGGCTGCTCTCAGCAAGAGATGGTGGTGGTTTAACCTGAGGGTCATCATGTCTCAGGTGAGGGGAGAGGTTGAGAAGAAATGTCCTTCATGGTAACCTCAGCCAGACAGGGAGTTGAATCCACACTGTCGGTGTCACTCTGCATTGCACACCTGCCACCCAAGCTAACCAACCTTCATCTTAAAGGTACATTGACATACAAACTGTGAGCCATAACACTGTCACAGGTGATGGTGTTCCCCTTCTCCTTCTAGGTGGTAGAGCCCGCAGGTACTTTGGTTAAATGGTAGGCACTGCTGCTGCTGTGTGCCCAGTGTTGGAGAGAGTTTCTTCTTTACTCATTTGTGGGATGTGGGTGTCGCTGGCTGACGAGCATTTCTTGCCCATCGCTAGTTGCCCTTGAGAAGGTGGTGGTGAGCTGCCTTCTTGAACCGCTGCAGTCCTCCTGCTGTGGGTTGACCCACAGCGCCATTAAGGAGGGAATCCAGGATTTTGACCCAGTGTCAATGAAGGAATGGTGATATATTTCCAAATCAGGATGGTGAGTGACTTGGAGGGGAGCTTAGAGGTGGTGTTCCCATACATCTGCTGCCCTTGTCCTTCTAGATGGAAGTGGTGGTGGGTTTGGAAGGTGCTGTCTGAGGAGCTTTAGTGAATTTCTGCAGTGCACCTTGTAGATCGTATGCACTGCTGCTACTGAGCGTTGGTGGCAGAGGGAGCAGATGCTTTGTTGGAGTCCATAGAAACAGGCCATTCGCCCAACAAGTCCACACCACCCCTCTGAAGACCATCTCACCCGGACCCATCCCCCTACCCCTGCATTTCCCATGTCTAACCCACCTAACTTAAACATCCCTGAACACTGTGAGCAATTTAGCATGGCCAATCCACCTAACCTGCACATCTTTAGACTGTGGGAGGAAACCGGAGCACCTGGAGGAAACCCATGCGCACACTCCACACAGACAGTTGCCCAAAGGTGGAATCGAACCCAGGTTGCTGGCGCTGTGAGGCAGCAGTGCTAACCACTGAGCCACTGTGTGTGGATGTTCCTGCACGGAGTCAAGCTTCTTGAGTGTTGTTGGAGCTGCACCCATCCAGGCAAGTGGGGGAGTATTCCATCATACATCTGACTTGTGTTTTGTAGTTGTTGGACATGCTTTGGGGAGTCAGGACGTGAGTTATTCACCACAGTATTCTTAGATTCTGACCTGCTGTTGTAGCTGCTGTGTTTAAATGGTGAGTCCAGTTGAGTTTCTGGTTAATGGTAACCCCCAGGATGTTGATAGTGGGACATTCAGTGATGGTAACACAACTGAATGTCCAAGGATAATGGTTAGATTGTCTCTTATTGGTGATGACCACAACCTGGCATTTGTGTGGCACGAATGTTACTTGCCACTTTACACAGGAATAATTGTCTTGTGAAACTACTTTACTCCATCGTGATATAGTGTACCTGTAATCTTCATTAGGTAACCCCTGTTCCCTTGCATCAGTGCAAACCAAGAAAATACCCTTTGAATTCAAGCTTGCTAATCAGTGCTGAGCTTCTGAAACCTGCATTGTTTCAAATGTTAATACAATAATCATGTTAATTGTGAATTTCTCACTCAACAAACATGTAGAATTCAAATTACATTTAATGTGACAGGTCTCTTAAGGTACATGTGCAATATATAATGGATGAAGCTCAATTTGGGATGGGTAATCAATGCTGGCCTCGTTGATAATACTCAATGAACCACTGAAAAAAAGGTCTTCAGATTATCCCTTTAACAGAAGCATTAAGCGTTTATTTGTGCTATATAAATAGGAGTCAGAAGGTGCTACTAGAACCTGGTTCAGTATTTACCCATGAGTTCAACAGTCACTTCCAGGTCACAGTTTCTTCCAGACATTTAAAAGATCAAAGGTTATGGAATTGGCATTCTATTCCAAACATTGATTGGAAATAAAGCTAACTGTTTTTAGTCTAGTTGCCATTTTCTTGTGGAATTTACTGTTGTCAGCCCCTGGCAATGTACAAATAGTTCCAGGCAGTCCTTTGGATTGTCCCAGTGTATGCAGGGGATCTCCAGGAGTGTGCCAACATTGGCAGGTCTTTCTGTCTGTGTCAAAAATCTTTGGAACTGTTTGAAGAATCACAAAAGATTGGATTTTTGATCTTCCGTCATTTGAAAATTCCGAAGAGTGGCATGTTTGAAAGCCAGTGTAATTGGAAGGGAACTTGTGGGACAAGGGAACGAAGAGACTCCAGTGTATGGTGCTGAAGTGTCCTGTGCTGCAGCTGACCAGCAGTCTTCATCTCTCTATTGTTTTTCCTCAAAAGGTTGCCATTTGTACGCAATCAACACCCACCACAGCATGGATCTGCGGATTGTTGTCGCCATTCGCAACAAGCTGCTCCTCATTACAAAGAAAAACCTCAGCAGGTCCAACAGCTTCCCAAGCCCCCAGGCACCTGCAGAGTCACCTGTGGAAGAATTCCAGTACATCAGGGTAAGATTGGGGTAAATGGTTCACTGTCGGATAATGTCAGCTGGATTCTTGGAGCTTTGCTTGACTTTGAGTCTCAGAGGGTCCAGGGTGGGGTCCTCATGAAGACAGTCTGCCTTTCTCTGAGGACTGAAGTTGATAAGTTAAGTTGGCCTTCATCTACATTCCTTTGATTAGAAGGAGCTGTAATTGAGAGAATTTGAAGATCAAGGTATTTTTGACAGGCCCTGATTGTGATGAAGTGCCGGCATCTCTTCGCGTATTAGGAAAAATCTTTCATTTTGCTAATGACACCCCTGATAGATACACAAAGGAGCAAACCCATGTAACTGATGGAAACAAGCACAGCGCTCCTCACCTTGTGGGAATTCAATGGAGGTACTCCTTGCCCATTTATAGAGATCTACAGCACAGTAAAAGGCCCTTCAGCCCATCACATCCAAATCAAAACAGCCACCTAACGATTCGAATCCCATTTCCCAGCATTCCTCCTAACCCTAACTCTATGTCTTTATGAGTGATTGAGTTGAAGTGTTCGAAGACCCCCAGCCTGTGTTCTCACTTTGGGGTAAGGGCAGAAGGGAGAGGGGGTTGCTGGTGATGGTGGGGACACTCACTGAGATCTTGTCAGGGGCCACCCCTTAAATGGTGGCTGATGAGGTTGGAAAGTGGCCTATAAAAGCTGGAGGCTTTATCAGAGAGCTTCCGACCTATGAGCAGCATTCAGCTGGTGTGAAAGGTGAGTAACTGAGAGGGCGTTTCAACAGGAAGATGCTGTCCTCTTAACCTTCTGAAAATCGAACACGAAATACAGAAAACACAGCCTACTGTGGGGCATTGGTGAGTGACCGGGGATATTGGGGATGGCCTTGGGGGATCGGGAGAACTGTCCACTATTCTCTGTATGCCCCACCCAGATAGGCAAAGGAAGGCCTGTGGGCTTAGCTGGAACATTGGCCACCTGGCCTGCTCACCTCCAGGCAACTGAACATCATGACGGGAAACTGAAAGCCGACTGGAAAATACTAACAGGCCTCCTGTTGCAATTGTAAGGTACCAGTGAGCTTAATGGTGTACCTAGTCTGTGGTGCCAGGCAGCCCTGTGGGTTGAGGACCCAGCTCCTCAAATGGCAGGCACCAGCATCTGCAGGTCCCCATCTGACTCCTTCCCAAACTCAACCAGGCCAGAAAATCCTTCTCCCTGAAAGGTCAATTTTTCCCTTAGGTCTTCATCTCCTTTTCCTCTTGAACGTGATCATTCCGAAGGATAAAATAACAATGGCTCACTTACCCAAGAGAATGATCGCTGTGCCAGTTGCTTGTAAGGAAGAAAGAATTCACTTACAGCTGATTTATTTTGATTTCTCCTGTAAATCTAAGGGGTGCCTGCTGGGCTGAGTTAACAAGACTCTCAGTCCAAGGAACTCTCCAGGATTAAGTGACTGAATCATGTTGTATCACTGAGGGAGCACTGCATTGTTGGAGATGCTCTTCTTTTGTGTAGAACCTGAAACCAGGGCTCCATGTGGTTGTTCAGGTGGAAGTAACAGATATCATTGCTGTTGTTCAAACCAACCCTCAACCACTGCTGTTAGAAACATTGATTACACTTTCATTTCATTGCTGCTAGTGGAACTTTGTGCAAATTGGCTTCAACATATGATGAAAGTGCTTCTACTCACAAAGTAATTCATATATTAGCTACAGCTTTTCTCACTTTGCAACAACGACTGTACTTCAAAAACAACTTTATTGGCTGGAAAGAATTTGAAGCATCCGATGGTTGTATAAAGAGTGCTATTAAATGCAAATCCTTATTTTGTTGGCTGTGAAAAGAAAGACTTGCATTTATACTGCGCCTTGTATGACTCTAGGAATCCTAAAGCATTTATAGTCAATGAAATGCTTTTGAAGGGTGTTCACTGTTATAATGTAGGAAATGTGGCAGCCAATTCGTGTATAGAAAGCTCCTAAACAGCAATGTAAACTGACCAGATAATGTTTTCACAGTATTGACTGAGGGATACATACTGGCCAGGACACCAGCGTTAAACTCCCTGTGTTTTGAGTAGTGTGGTAGCCTCTTTCATATACAGAGCAGATGGGATCTCAGTTTAATGACTTATTAAAATGCACAAAATGGAGGCTGTGGAAATACAGCACTTCAGAGAGAGACTTGGTCTCATGACCTTCTGATTCAGAGTCAAAAGGCACTTTTAAGCTTATTGGAAAATCATAGAATAAGATAGCTTAGAAGCACATTAAACCCATTGAGACAGTGCTGCATCTTTTGAAGGGCAATCCCTGCTTTATTTCCCCCCTGCCCCATATCACCGCAATTTCTTTCTGTGGAAATGGAGCTGTTCCGTTCCTCTCTGCTTCCTGTGAGGTAATCACCCTGCCCTCTTGGTCTGTTCACAGGAAATATGCTTGTCCGACCCACCCATCGTCATGACCCTGGTGGATGGACCCACTGGAGAAAATGACAACCTGATCTGTGTTGCGTACCGTCACCAGTTTGATTTAGTGAACGAGAGCACGGGCGAGTCTTACAGGCTGCACCATGTTGATGCCAGCAAGGTGAGTCTAGAGCTTCAGGCATGCGACTGGCCAAAAGAAACCCATGTTCCCTTGATTTAAACCCACACCCTCTTTATCTAAAACCCATCCTTACCTGAGCTCGCTCGTGCTTGACTGAGGAGAACCTTCGCCTCTGAAAAACTGTTGGGGCTCTTGTAAATGAGCGCATCCGAAATAGAAAACCGGGAACGGAGAACATGCAAATAGTTTGGGACAGTAGGAACTGCTGATGCTGGAGTCTGAGATAACGCAGTGTGGAAAAAGAGGAACACAGCAGGCCAGGCAGCATGAGAGGAGCAGGAAAGCTGACGTTTCGGGTCGGGACCCTTCTTCAGAAAATTCAGCAAATAGTTTGGTTCTTTTAATGAAAAGACAACATGACCATCTCTAGCAATGCCTTTAAGTATGAAGTGAAGGAAAAGATCAGCAGCGCTGTTCAAGGGCAGTCTGAAAACCTAAGCATTACTTAGTTGCCTGTGTCTCGTTGTACTTACTCATTTAATAAAGATAACATTTCCAATTCAGAAAGGCAGTACTTTTTTTTTATAGCTGATGAGGCTGTTACTGAATTATCTTTTAAGTCAAGCATGATTCTATGTAATGAAGAAATGCATTATCTGGCTTGCAGCCAGTTCACTGCCCAGGAATCAGGACAGACTAAAACCTCTGGCTGCCTTTAATTGGATCAAGGTGCAAATTAAAGTGCATAAGAATGACAGTGAATTATTCTACAGCAAGAAGTAAATGCTTGGAATTTACATATCTCATATCATGTAAACAGAAAATGCTTTGATTTGTGTTGATCTGTCAGTGTCTGATAGGCGAAGAGAATATGTTGACACATCACCCTTCATTCTCATGAATATAACTATTCTTGTTAACAACCAGACCAAACTATGTGGAGACTGGAAATACATACAAAAAATGTCCTGGAGAAAAAAAACCCAAAGCAGCATCCATGGAGAGAGAGAGAGAAAAAAACAGGGTTAATGTTTCAGGTCAATGACCTTTCATTAAAATTTCCTGTCCTTTTTCAAAAGTAATTCTTCACTGTTTTAGTACCTATCAACTCTGGGGTACTAATGCAGAGGGAATGGAACGTTTTCGTTATCCACTGTGTCGCCTGGGTCTAATCTACCTCAGCCAGCCTCTCAGGATTCAGCATGGTACTTGTTCCTTTTCAATTTCCATGTCTTGAGGCTTGTCTGAGTCACATAAAGGAGAAAAGAAGACTTAGAGACATATAGTCATAGAGCTGTATAGCATGGAAACAGACCCTTCAGTCCAACTCATCCATGCCGACCAGATATCCTAAATAAATCTAGTCCCATTTGCCAGCATTTGGCCAATATCTCTCTCAACCCTTCCTATTCATATACCCATCTAGATGCCTTTTAAATGTTGTATTTGTACCAGCCTCCACTACTTCATCTGGCAGCTTATTCCATACACACCACCCTCTGTGTGAATAAGTCCCTATTAAATCTTTTCTCTCTCACCTTAACCCTATACTTTCTTGTTTTGGACTCACCCATGCCAGGGAAAAGACCTTTTGCTATTTACCCTATCCATGCCCCACATGATTTTATAAATCTCTATAAGGTCACCCCTCAGCCTCTGATGCTCCAGGGAAAATAGCCCCAGCCTATTCAGCCTCTCCCTATAGCTCAAGCCCTCTGACCCTGGCATCATCCTTGTAAATCTTTTCTGAGCCCTTTTAAGTTTCACAACATCCTTCCTATAGCAGGGAGACCAGAATTGATTGCAGTATTCCAAAAGTGGCCTAACCAATGTCCTGTACAGCCACAACACGGCCTTCTAATTGCTATACTCAATGCCCACTGACCAATAAAGGCAAGCATACCAAGCGCTTCCTTCACTACCCTGTCTACCTGCAACTCCACTTTCAAGAAACTATGAACCTGCACCCCAAGGTCTCTTTTTGTTCAGCAACACTCCCCAGGACCTTACCATTAAGTGTATAAGCCCTGCCCTGATTTGCCTTTCCAAAATACAGCACCTCACATTTATCTAAATTAAACTCCATCTGCCACTGCTCAGCCTATTGGCCCATCTGATCAAGAACCCGTTGTACTCTGAGGTAACCTTCGCTGTGCACTACACCTTCAATTTTGGTGTCACCTGCAAACTTACTAACCATCCCTCCTTAGTTCACACCCAACTCATTTATATAAAATATGAAAAGCAGTGAACCCAGCACCAACCCTTGTGGCACACTGCTAGTCACAGGCCTCCAGTCTGAAAAACAACCTTCCACCACCACCCTCTGTCTTCTACCTTCAAGCCAGTTCTGTATCCAAGTAGCTAGTTCTCCCTCTATTCCGTGTGATCTAACCTTGCTAACCAGTGTACCATGAGGAATCTTTTTGACACCTTACTGAAGCCCATATCGATCATGCTCTGTCCTCTTCAATCCTCTTTGTTACTTCTTCAAAAAACTCAATCAAGTTTATGAGACACAATTTCCCACACACACGATGTTGACTATTCTTAATCAGTCCTTGCCTTCCTAAATACATGTGAATCCTGTCCCTCAAGATTCCCTCCAACAACTTGCCTACCACCAATATCAGGCTCACCGGTCTATAGTTCCCTGGCTTTTCCTTTACCCCTTTCTTAAATAGTGGCACCACGTTAGCCAACCTCACCTTGTCTGTGGCTATCAATGAAACAGATATCTCAGCAAGGGGCTTCCCTAGCCTCACACAGAGTTCTAGGTTACACTTCATCAGGTCCTGGGGATATATCCACCTTAATGCATTTTAAGACATCCAGCACCACCTTCTCTGTAATATGGACATTTTTCAAGATGTCGCTATTTATTTCCCTGCATTCTGTAACGTCCATGTCCTTTTCCACTGTAAACACTGATGCAAAATACTCGTTTAGTATCTCCCCCATCTCCTGCAGCTCCACACATTGGTGGCCTTGCTGATCTTTAAGGGGCCCTATTCTCTCCCTAGTTACCGTTTTGTCCTTAATGCATTTGTAGAATCCCTTTGGATTCTCCTTAACTCTACTTGCCAAAGCTATCTCATGTCCCCTTTTTACCCACCTGATCACCCTCTTAAGTATACCCCTTCTGCCTTTATGCTCTTCTAGGGATTCACTCGATCTCTGTCTATATCTGACATTTGCTTCCTCCTTATTCTTGACTAAAACCTCAATTTCTCTTGTCATCCAGCAGTCCCTACATCTACCAAGCATTCCCTACATCTACCAGCCTTGCCCTTAATCCAACAGGAACATACTGTTCTGGACTCTCGTTATCTCATTTTTGAAAGCTTCCCATTTTCCAGGCTTCTTTTTACCTGCGAACATCTGCTGCTAATCATCTTTTGATAGATCTTGCCTAATACCGTCAAAATTGGCCTTCCTTCAATTTAGAACTATCGTTTCCATCACTATTTTAAAACTAATATAATTATGGTCTTGCATTTATATAGCATTTCTCACAGCTACCAGATATCCTAAAGACTTCACTGCCAATGAGGTATGGTCACATTAAAAACAGAATACTATCAATATTGGAGATCTGAAATAAAAACACAAAGTACTGGATAAACTCAGCTAGTCTGGCAGCATCTGTGGAGAGAGAGAAACAAAGTTAAGGTTTCCAGTCCAGTATGATGAAAGAAGAGTCATATTGGACTTGAAATGATATCTCTGTTTTTCTCTCCAAAGATGCTACCAGACCTGCTGAGTTTCTCCAGCGTTTTCTGTTTTTATGAAGTAAAATTTTTTTTCTGAAGAAGGGTCCCGACCCAAATCGTCAGCTTTCCTGCTCCTCTGATGCTGCCTGGCCTGCTGTGTTCCTCCAGCTCTACACTGTGTTATCTCTGACTCCAGCATCGGCAGTTCTTACTATTTCTGACACACCATAAACCTTCTACATCACTGAAGACATTAGAAAGGAAGATCAAATGAATCATTACATTGTCAGTCTGCATCCACTTTTCCCCACAATCGACAAAAGTTAAAAGAAGTTACAATCGGTAGTTAGCTGGTAGTTCCAGCTTATTGTGATGACATTATACACTGTGACGTTCACTGATAATGTGTTGAGGGGCATGCTGTTTGATGAGTTGCAGGATATTGTTATGCTTCAGGTCCAGTGCATCAAACGCCGTTTCTATCTTTATTTCTGTGTAATTTTCTCGCAATGTTCATTATCGCAATGCTGCCAGCTGAGCCAATGCCTCACAGGAGGCAGAAAGATTGGAAAATGCTCAAAATAGATTAGCCTTTGTCCAAGTGACTCATTCCAATAAATATGCATTTGTCATTAAAAAGAACACCTTTCTTCCATCACCTCAAGACGCAAAGCTGCCTCTAGCGAATCACTGGACGTCTGAATGATTTGTAAACTTCAGAACCATCTGTGGGAGAGTTAATAGCATTAGCATTACTGCACGGGGCAGGTTTTGTGCCTGCATCTTCCTCCTATTATCTTCATAGCGATAGCACTCTCATTGGAATTGCTAGCCTCAGAGCACTCGCAGGAGTCTCTGCTTTTACCTGTAATCACCAGATTTGCTTCGATAAATGGAACAGGGACGTGTACGCTTTGAAGCCTTCATTCAAGAGGTTTCACAGATATTCGAGCAGCCCCCACCCATTCATCAAGCAGCATGTGAAACAGCACCTGTGTTCTCACTAATTCTGGCCGTGTTCACCTCATCTGCTTCCTGCTGCTAATTGTGTGATTTATCATCCTTACACCTTTACCACTGCAGTAATTGCTCCCAGTGTTGTAATCATGGCTTGTAGTCATAAACGTCCTACAGACGTGCCTTCAAAAGTTGTATCAAATCAAATAACAGCAATTTCCTGTTCCGCATACAGCAATGACAAAGTCATCATGAAAAGTTTTGACCCATGTGGTGTTGAGTCAATACATTGTAACCACAGCAACAATAACAATCCTTCCTTGTTTATTTTTACTCCTTCTCTGTCTCAAAAGTTCATACAATATAATCCTTACTTTAGTTCAATAATATTTAATTCAATTTTCCTTTCATACCATGTAATGACTCTTGTTGAAATCTGTTTTAATCTCCATCGCAAGAGTCGGGAACATTCCAAATCTATTGCTTCCTGGAAATTAACCTTTTCAAAATTCCCCTTCATCTGTTATGATTGATCTGAGTTTAACACAACCTCCAAGGTAGATATTGTCAAAGCCTCAGCTGTTCAGCATTGTACTGTTCTTCTTTAGACCACATTGATTCAGTGTTTTCAGCTCTGTATGGTTCGGAGTAATATTTTCAATTACAATAATGGCTAAAGTACTGGGAAAGAAACGAAAAGACAGGCAGGCTGCCTGATGCAACATTCACCGCTGGTAAGCGCGCTGCCATTTTACCTTATTATTTCCCCATGTAGCAGGGTGAAAAAGATGGACAGTTGACTGTACATAACTGTAGGAAGCATACCTTCCCAAGCTCCAGGGTGGCTCTCGTACAACACTCTCTCAGTCCTGAATCAACATAACCATAGATTTACTATTAGTGAGAAAACCTACATTTTTCTTCAAAAGCCTGATAGGATGATATCACTGCATAGTCATTCACTCATTAAAAAGGGTAAATAGCCAAGATCTTTTTCCCTAAGGTAGCGGAGTCCAAACCTGGCAGGCATAGGTTTAAATTGAGAGGGGAAATATTTAAAAGGGACCTAAGGGGCACCTTTTTCATGCAGAGGGTGGTGCATGGATAGAATGAGCTGCCAGGGGAATTGGTGCAGGAGGCTGGTACAATTACAAGATTTAAAAGGCATCTGGATGGGTACATGAATAGGAAGGGTTCAGAGGGATATGGGCCAAATGCTGGCAAATGGCACTAGATTAATGTAGAACATCTAGTCAGCACGAACGAGTTGGACTGAAGGGTCGGTTTCCACGCTGTATATCTTTATGACTCTATGACTGAAAGTGCTGGGGCTTTCTTCTGTGGTGGCCTGATAGGTGCCTTTCAAAAAGGTTTCATTGAATATCTGAAGAGAAAATATTTTAACACTGCTCTATACATAAAATAGTGACCAACATATCCAACAGGGAATTCAGGAGAACATCTTTATCTGGAGACGGGTGAGTCATAGAGATCTACAGCACAGGAAGAGGCCTGTTAGCCCATCAAATCTGCGCCAGTCAAAAGCAAGAACCTCCAATTGAGAATGCATGACCTGTTACCGTACACATTAGTTCAGGCAAATAGTGGTCTTACCTTCAAGGGAAACCAAGATAAACACATGAGGGAGACATGGAAAGAAGAACATGATGATAGAATTGGAAGAAGAGAAGTGGGAGGAGGAGGTGGTGAAGCATTGGCATGGGTTAAAAATAGGACTCTTAGTTGAGAGCTATACAGGGAAATAATCCCAAACCCTGTGGCAGGAAGAAATTGAGCTTTCAATTGATTCTGACCTTCCTGACAGTAGCGGAAATACTGAACCTTCCAAAATTCACCGGGGGTCCTTAGACAGCATCTTTCAAACCCACAATCACTGTTATCTAGAAGGACAGGGGCTTTCTTTCACTGTCACTGGTCAAAATCCTGGAATTACCTCCCTAACAGCATTGTGGATCTACCTACTGCACACAGATGACAGCAATTGATGAAGGCAGCTCACCTGCACCCTTTTGGGATGGGCAATAAATGCTGCCCCAGCCAGTGGTAACTACCTCCCATGAATGTATTATAGGTGATCATTCTCATTTCCCTCTCTTTATCCATGCTCCTCTCGTACCCTGTGGTCACATTATTGCTCTGTTCAGAGTATGGAAGTTATACGCATGAGCTAATGTACCTTTACCATTGCTGCCAAGCCAGTGGTTACTGGTTAAGTCTACAATTGCGCTCATGTTTTCCAGCTGCTTGTCTTGTTGAGCCCTATTAATTCAGCAACAGTATATGCAGTAGGATTAAAGCTTGTCAGTAATGCGGCATTAATTGCAAGTGAGGTTTGCAGATTCCGCCATATATCCAGGAGTCCCTCCTTGCAACAATTCTGGACATTCCCACACATTAAAAATAAATGGGAGTATTTCAATGGGAAGTGGGGATCTTCTGCTCTACACAGTGAGTGGTTATGTTGCATAAATTGGGAAATGTACACATTATAACAAATAATATTTGTGATATGAACATGTCCCTTTTTAACATTTCTTTCAATATCCTGTGCCAATAGGAGGCACTGAGTTAGCATTCAAGATAGCATTTCTGATTGGTAAGGATGTGTGAATGTAACCTAGTTTAAACCTGTGACTATCTAACAGTGATATAACTCCGAAATATCAAACAGATTGATGTGCAGGGGAGTGGCACTCATGAGGTTTTGTTGGTCTTCATTATCAATAGAGCTTCCAGTTAGGTTAATGATAAGGGTAGCATTTGAGATACTGTACTGAACTTGTCCTTGCATATTAAGACTTTGTTTGAAGCATTAAGACTGTCCATACTGCTTGTTGATACTATGAACTACCCATACCCATTACCATTGCAGGTTAATTTTGTTGCAGCTATTGATGTGTATGAAGATGGTGAAGCAGGACTGTTACTCTGTTATAACTGTGAGTTCAAACCTTTCTTCGGTTTTCTTGTCAATAATTGAGTGGCTAGAAGGATGTAGCAATATTGAGGAACAAATCAGACACTATTTACACAATGTTTCTATGTGCATATTTCATTGTCCAGTTTTGCTTTTCATGTGACTGGATGTGACAATGTTAAACAACATTTCAACCTGTTTGGAGATTGTATTATACACCTCTGGAACAGGTGAAACTTGAAAGAGCCTTGAAACAATATTTACTGGATGTTTTTAATCAGCCTATTCAGAAGTGTTATAACATACTTCTGGGACTTGAACTCAGACCTCCTGACCCAGAGATAGTGGCACCACCCCTGTGCACAGGAGCCTTTGGAAACAATATTTAGATAACACAACAACATTGACACCAGTTACATCTTCCAATCACAGCAGAAAGCTCTTCAGTCAATTACTTACGGTTATCGAATTGCCTATATGCACCCCCTGTAGTGTAGACACTGTGCTCTGAGACAGGGTTTCAGATACCATTTCAACTTTCAGGAGGTCTGTAAAATATAGGGAGCTAGTTCACCAGCAATCCCCACAACCTGAACTGGCCACTGCATCTTGTAAAAGCAGAGTACTGTTGGCAGAAGTCTGGCACAACGAACCTGTACCCTCTGTGCAATGGACTTACATGCACTGGAGCTGTTTGTATTTGTGGCAGTGTTGGACATGCTGGATTTGTGCACCTCCCTAGCAAGACTCTCTTCCTGCCAATATTCATCCACTAAAATTCAGTTAATATTAAAGTGATACAGTATTGTTCTGTTGTGTTGCAGATGTATGTTACTACAAAAAGGTGTGTCCCTTTAATGGTGGCTCTCCGCTGATACAGCCTTCAGCTTCTGATTTCCATTTCAGCTGGAACCAAGTCCCTAATGATATTGGTATGACATCATCTCATTGCAGGCTGATTTCAGACTGATTAAAAGTAGCCTCTGTACATTGTTTAAAGATTATAATGCAGCTTTTGGCCACTAAACCTGAGTAATTGAATGAAATATGAATGAACTGAAGGGAGTTGATTTCATGGTAGAGTTCTTTTAATACGAGTAACATGTAATTACACCCCCCCCACCCACCCAACCGTCCTCTAACCAAATGGGGAGTATTTCCTTTCCTTTTGGTCTCAGTATCACTTCATATCTGTAAATATCCACTTGTTGATTTTCTGATTGCAGTTGGAATACAGAATGCACTGGTAAATTAAAGTGGAGCCAGGACCAAAATGGCAGGACGTTGCTGACACAGGAACATGTTTAGAAAAAACAAATGCAAGATACTTGGAGACACCACAGCAAAGTGTGTGGGAAGGGGAGAGATGCTGTGTTAACTGCACACTGCAGCAGTGGGGTCTTTTAAAAGTCCCCTTCCTAAAACAAGATATGAAGCATCATTACTTTTGATGGTAGACTTTCAATTTCAATTTTAATTAAATCTATTAAATATATGACTTTATAGTCACTCTAGTTTTGTCTCCCTCTGATGCATCCTATGCTCAGTACAATGGCAAGCATCAGCAATGACAGTATGCATGGAGGTTCTCGATGGAAGTGTAGCCCCATTTTCAATGTTGCCCACCCTCTTAAGGTTAGTGGTTAAGCTTTGCAGGAGGGATCTTTCCTGAGGAAATTCCCACAGATTACCCTGATGTCAGTGGCAAGCTCACACATAGCAGCCAGGCCCACGGACAACATGAGTCAAGTGAGCATTTGACCTTAGTCCCCAATTTTCAAATTTCACTGAGATACGGAGAAATATTGGTACCAGGCTAAATCGAAACGTCAAGCAGTAGGCCTGAGTTCACTCGTCAGAGTGAGACTTGAATGAAAGAAAATCCCTTTTCGCTGTAGATTTTAAATCAATCTAACACTGAGATAGGTATAGCATTAATTTTCTCTTGCATATTGGCATGTCAAGCAGAAGGAACACAACAGAAAATTCTGTAAATATTGCGGTAATAATTTTGTTCATCTTCTTTGCCCCAGTCTGTGTCTTTCCTTATATTTTGGCCTTCACGACTGATTCTATTGAGATTCGACTGGTGGTGAATGGGAACCTTGTTCACACAGCCGTAATGCTCGATCTTCATCTCACAGCGTCACAGGTATGAGTCTTGGGTGTAGGTTAGACATTTGCCCATTCGTATTCTGACAAGTGTTGGGTCTTCCTGAGTGAGCAAACACAGAAACTGTGCCTGGCTAATCAAGGAATAGAGCAATTTGGAAACTGTAACATGATATTTGAGATATTTAATTGGAAAAGGATGGACAGATTCATTTAAAAGGTAGATTTCAATGCAGACCAATAAAAATATATCAAATGCGTGTGGGCCAAGTATAGAATCCCTACAATGTGGAAGCAGGCCATTCGGCTCATCAAGTCCGAACCAACCCTCCAAAGAGCATCCCACCCAGACCCACCCCATCCCTGTAACCCTGTATTTCCTGTAGCTAATCCACCTAGCCTGCACATCCCTGGACACAATGGACAATTTACATGGCCAACCTACCTAACCTGCATATCTTTTGACTGTGGGAGGAAACTCACATAGACACAGGGATAGTGTGCAAACTCCACACAGTCACCCAAGGCTGGAATTAAACCCAGGTCCCTGGCACTGTGAGGTAGCATGGCTAACCACTGAGCTACCATGCTACAAAGTATGTTTGTGTCTTCTTGAGTGTCATGGAGTGACATGGACCATGTGCAAACATGGAATGAAAGTTTCTTACAACAAAAGGAACATGCCTTGTCACAATCACACAACAGTATCTCTCATATACAAGTGTGAATAATTCTAATTTATAAACTTCACATAAACCATACTCTGCATTGAGAGTGCACTCACACCCAGGAAGCAGCCAGCTTATTGCTAATAATGGATTCCATGTCAGAGCAGAATCTCTTCTGACAATACGGGATAGATTCCAATCCATCGGTGAACGTGTCCATGCCTGTCACACCCTGTCCCCTCAGAACAAAAGAAAATAATGCCCTTGGGAGAAGATGAAGCTGCCAATTGTTTTTCTCTTTCTCATTCCAGTCAGATATTTACTTTACGTCTGCTGCTGCATCAATGAATGCAGCCTCCAGCGGCAGCTCGAAAGAAACCAGCTCACACAGTTCTCCACAAACTCCGACAGGACAGGAGCTGCCTGTACTGCCCTCGTCTCCAGGTGAAGGTAAGCTGCTACTTGTCCCGCTCTGCAGAAATCCCTTAAGGTGCTAGGAGGATTTAAACCCCAATTAAAGCGTAAAAATAAAACAGGGATTTATGTTTCTCTTTAAAATAATAAACATCTCAAGATGCTTCATGGAGGGCAGGGTGGATAATGAGCGGCGGTAGACGAAATAGGTTGAAAAGACAAATGGAGGACATAGGTGAGGAACCTGTAGGAATCCCCTGAATCTCATGTCCTTCCACCCAGGGCTCTGCAAATTATTCCCCTCCAAATATTTATCAAATTACCTTTGGAAAGTGATTTCCACATTTGAGTTTTTTAGATAGGGTCCACTTCGTCCATGACTTGATGAAAGACATAAGAAATAGAAGCAGGAGTGGTCCATATCAGCCCAACTAGCCTGCTCTGCTATTCAATACAATTAGACTTTTCATTGGCTTCACTTCCTGCCCACTCCCCAAATCCCTCACTGCCATGAGACCAAAAATCTTTCTCATCTTTAAATGTGTTTAATACTAAGACATCTGTCAACTCTTGGAGGTACAGAATACCAAATATCCACAATCCTTGGAGTGAAAAGATTTCTTTTCACTCAGGAAAAGAATCAGGAAACGTCTCCATATCTACCTCGTCAAATCCTGCAGAAATGTTTGTATTTCAATGAGATCACCTCTCATTCTTCTAAACTACAGAAACATAGGCCAACTTGCTCTATCTCTCATCATAGGATAACTTTCCCATCCCAGGCACAAATCTAGTGAACTTTCGCTGTCTGACACTAACACAACTATCTCCTTGCTTAAAGTGAGACCAAAATTGCACGCAGTTTTCCTTTCTATTGGTCTCCTCATGTCCATGTATAATCGTAACAAGATTGCTTATTTTTGTAATTCAATGTCCTTGAAATAAAGACTAACATGCCTTTTTTTTTTAAACCAAATTACTTGCTGTACCAGCATTTTGTGAACTTTGTACAAGTACACTCAAGTCTGTCTGAACATCAACATTTAGAAGTTTCACACCGTTTCAAAAATATTCTGCTTTCCTATTCTTACAAATTGAACAACCTCACTCTTTCCCACATTATATTCCACATGCTACCTTTTTGACCACTCACCTTAGTATGTGTCTATCTCTTTACAGCCTCTACACAGCTTGTATTCACATCTAGCTTTGTATCATCAGTAAATTTAGACACTTTACTCTCCCTTTTTGTCTAAGTCATTCATGTAAACAGTAATTAGCTGAATCCCAGCACTGATCCTTGCTGCACTCCACTAGTCTCAGCCTGCCAACTTGAAAATGCTCCCACTCTTTGCTTCCAGGCTGTGAATAACCCCCAATTCTATGAGCCTTTATTTTGTATATTAGCCTTTTGTGTAGCCCAAACAAATGCCTTTTGGAAATCAAAATATACTGTATTAACTTGTTCCCTTTATCTATTCTACTGGTTACTTCCTCACATACTCTGATAAATTTATCGAACAATATTCCCCTATCATTAATCCCTGCTTCAAAATCTAACAAAGATGGTCAATTCAACTACAAAACATTATGCAGAAGATGGTGAAGTGGGCTAAGGTGACATTTCCCCCCAAAGCTGTATTTTGTTCATAAAAATTGTAAATTACTTCCATAACACATTAAATTAGACATTACTGAAAGTGCAATACAATTCACGTCCTTTTCCTTAAGTCTTTGGTACTCAGAGGTGCCTCAGGATAATAGCAATCACATGTGATTTTTACAGTGTGAATGTCATGACAAAGATACTGCGTGAGGGACTTTACATCCTCGTGATACTATGACAGTTGAACGTTAAACATCACCCTTGCCCCATTAAGCTGCCCCAAGCTTTAGTGCATCCTGGACTTTGGGATACACCAGTCTTCGACACTCAATCTTCTACTTCTCTTTGTAATGGAAAACCAACAGATTTCAGGCAGACCAGAATCTACTCCAAAACCTTAGAGACCAGAACTGAGGGAAGACAGCTGATTGTGCTTATGATTGAGGAGATCATTTCAACACATTATTGCCTAGATCCTTCATCTTTGCACTATTTTGGGAAACCGTTGAGCAGTTTTATTGTTAAAATGTGCAGTTGATCAAAGGGTATGGAGAGAAAACAGAAACAGGGTATGGAGTTGGATGATCAGCCATGATCATATTGAATGGGGGAGCAGCCTCTAAGGGCCAAGTGGCCAACCGTAGCTCCTATATTTCTATGTTTCTGTGTTAGGTTTGATTGTTTCATGGTTTTGTCCTGCCTAAGTTCCAATTAGACGACAAAGATAGATTACCAACCTGCAGCAATCTGTGGTTTAGCTTTGGATACATGGCTTTTTTTTTCTGGTACCAGCAGTAAATTCAACAGCTGGATCTGGCCATATTGCAGAAACTAAGAGTGGTTTGTGTCTATAAGATCACTCTCATTCACAGTGTAAAAAGGCTATGTAACCTCCTGAGGACAGTTTTGCCTGTCCTGTGAGACCAGCAGGAATTCATTATTGTTTTAATAGCATCAAAGGCTTTTGTGTTATGGCTCCTAGTGTACCACATTAACCTTAGTTTTCACCTCTCATTAACGTTTGTGTAGGTGTTAGTGTGAGGATAGTGTGGGAAATCCATTAAGTGGCAAACAAAGGAAAGTATCCCTTTGTGGGATATTAGTATGTGTTTGTTTATTGCTTCAACATAATTCAGCAGATGTGGTATACCTTTAAATGATCAGAGAGGAATGCTCAGCTTAACTAATGGAAGTCCAGAGAAGATCCGAAAAAAGAACTGCGGATGCTGTAAGTCAGGAACAAAAACAGAAGTTGCTGGAAAAGCTCAGCAGGTCTGGCAGCATCTGTGAAAAAAAATCAGAGTTAACGTTTCAGGGGCAGTGACCCTTCAGTTCTGAGGAAGGGTCACCAGACTCGAAACGTTAACTCTGATTT